TATTCACGGTCTAAGCACAATATGTAAAATAATATTAGATTAACTTAAAATAAATGTAAACATAACAAAGAAACTAAAAAAAATAATAATAATAAGTGAAGGTCTGTGTAGCAGCATAAGACCGTGAAACGGACGGGACTCGGTTAAAGTCGAGATACAGTAACTAAGATTCGTTCTGATCCCGACGCCGGTTTTCAGTCCGCCGGTATATGTATATATATGACGTCAGCTCATACAGCATCGACGTGATCAAATTGCTTTAATATGGTTAAAGAGTAAAAAAAGTTTTTACAATCCAGAAAAGGTAAATGATAAATAAAATAAAACGACCGAAATGTCGATGACTCCGTGGCGCAGTTGCCAAGCTTTCGGCTTCGGCGTCGGAGGTCGTGGGTTCGATTGCCACACGAGGCAACTATTTGTGCGGCCCACAGATCGTTGTTTCGCATCTGGGTGTTTGTCCACGCGATTAAAGGCCCATTTACACGATGCCATTTTCTTGAACATACAAGAGCAATAATTGAATGCAATAAATTGCGCGCAATAATTGTTTAGACTATTTGTTGTTTAGACCATGCAACTCATTTATTGCTTCAATTTAATTGTATACAACAGGCTAGAAACTGGCACCGTGTAAATGGGCCTTTACGCTTGTAAAACGTCCTTACAACACAGGATAATTGTATCCTAAAGTAAGGGCAATGTTTTTATAAGAAAAAGAAAAGGGAAAGTTGACATTTATTACATGTAACTTATATCCTAAGGTTGCCTGAAAGAAATTACTATCTTAGTAATATGGCTGAATATGTACACTACGTAAATAAATAAATAACCGCGCAGTGGTCGAAATTCAACCATAATTAATTATACATGGTAGTGTGGGTAAAGCTTTTATATTGATTTTAATCTCTTTATTATGCATAATTTTAAAAAATATCAGCATTCTGCACTCCTTCTCTATATCAACTGTATGTTTGTGTGGGAAATTCATCACACGGTCATTTTCGTAAAATGGGGTACAAAGTTTTTGCTTCACTTTTATTTTAATGTGTGAGCTGGTGGTTCACCTGATGATAATCGCCGCCCATAGACATTTGCAACACTAGTAGGGTTGCACATGCGTTGCGTTAAATAAAGTGGGCCCCGGCTACCTCACTCACCAGACGAAACGCAGAAAACACGTCTACTTTACGCCGGTCAGTTCCGGTTAGGTCGTGGTCCTTACTCGGACGGACCTGCCCATTCGTGCAACAGTGAACACTGTTGCGTTACCCTAGTACATTTGCTTACTCGTATTAATGTATAGAACATTCTATTCTATTCTATTTATCTAAACCTCGTCTGGGAATCGAACCGTCAACCCCTAACTAGCTAAGTAGAGGGCGATAAACACATCGTGCAAGTAGAGGAAAGGCACAAGGATGTATTGCGCGAGTAACCGATCCATCACTATGTCCCCCGGCGGCACTTGCGCGCGTCCCAGCCTCGGTTCGAGCTCCATTGTTTACTCGGGATTTTCGCTCTTTTTCTTCTTGCCTTTTGAGGAGCGATAAAACTGAACGGTTCAAAGATAAAGGTAAGGTTAAGGCAAGCGAAACAAAGGTACTGTCGAAATCCCAATCCGCTTGAGCGTGTAAAGCTTTCTTATTTACGAGTATATTTCACACGTAACAGCCTATATATGTACCATCGTTCAGTAATACATACATGCCTTGCAAAGGGCCGATCGCGAATTTTCTGATAAAAACGATTTTTAATTTAGTTCTTTGTTAATGTTTAGTTAATTAACTTGTAAAGAAATTTATTCCGAAACATTAAGTGGTTGTGACTAGACTCCTACTGTTTTTAGGAATGGAATAAACCTATCATCAATAATAGGTCTTCGATTCGAAACCTATATACCGTAACCCGTATACCAGGCAGCTTTCAAATCGCTTACGTCGTGTTGTTTTTGTTATTTAATACAGAGTTTTAATTCGTTGCAAATAACAAAAAGAGCACGTTTGACCATCGCGTAACTAATTACGAAACTTTTTATTTCCTAAAATTTATTGTTTCCGCAAATGGATTATTTTCGATAATTCTCGTAAATTATTTATTCTGGTTAATTGATTGTTCTTGTGTACCTATTACTTTTTTCGGTTTTAGTGGTTTACTTTTTCGTAAACTATCGTTGGATGTTAGTACCTACGTCGCGTGATTAAATCGCAATTTCAACCTTTTCACTTCTTGCTGGATCTGTTCCGATGCAGTCGCCAAAGCCGGGCTAATGGCTAGTTTGCCATTACATTGATTTACACACAAAAAAATGCGATCAATACTGTCGCGCTATTTCGATCAGCTGGTTTAAGTATTTTAACAAGATACTCTCGAGATACTAATATAATACTAAATATCTGAAATAGAGCACAATCTCTGTAGAATTCGTGTGTCACGAAAAAGTAAGCATAAAGCGCCATCTGTTATCTGGTACACGAAATAAAATAAGCCATATAGCTGTATACCTATACATATATATATATATCCATATACTACCTATAGCTAGGTCTCTACTTCCAATAGGTAATAAGTACTTATTTTTTATAAATTGCTTAAAAAAAAAACTACCGCTTTTTCATGTAACAATACTTTATTTACAGAAACAAAATTAAATTTATGTTTACAAGACGTCAAAAATTAAAATTACAGTATCTCAATCCTTTATATTCATAGACAGCAAACAAACTCCAAAGTAATACAAATCAGCGAGAATGGGCCGTAGATTGCAGAAATTTCCTGAAGCATGCTCTCAGCTCACTGAAAATATACATATTTGAAATTAGGACATTATCAGACTTACATGTATTTTAAATTATAAATATTTCAATACTTGCCTGGTTTCATTCCAATATTTAGGAAATATTCCTTTATATTCATAGCCGCAAACAAGCTACAAAGTAATATAAATCTGGGAAATGGGCCAAAAAGTGCAGAAATTTCCTGAAAAGGTACTCTCAGCTCACTGAAAATATACATATTTGAAATATCTCTCTCATTGTACAAGCTATTTAATTTTAAAAATAATTAAACTGTTTCATACAGTAACAATATACAAAAATTTCACTCACCAGGAATGTTCAAATATGGAATAGCTATGTTACTAATTCTATTGTAACGGCATTTGTATTTATCTTCGAAATGTAAATGACAGACACGTCGGTTTTTATATATATAGTCGTCACGCAAACCTAGTATGTCACCCCCAATATTCATAATCCAATTTCTAAATCGCTTCGAATCCTCAATTAGATTTGGAAATTTATGGAGAAGTTTTTTTCCTGAATTCATTAAAGATATGTCGTAAAACTAACAAAACTTGGTTTTTATACAAATAACTATTTTTAAATAATTTGATAAAATGAATTTATAAAGTAACCAATGAGTATACTTACGATCACATCCAGGAACACAACAATAATTTCTTTTACCCTTACCAGGCATTCTGAATTAAAATTTTTGAAATCTTACAAGAAAATATAACTTAGATCTAATTTATTTCTAAAGTATTTACAAATAAAATTAAAATAGTTACAAATAAAAAAAATACTAAAAACCAAACTAAAAATAAATGCTACGAAAATAAGTTTTATGAAAATGTAATAAAAAATCTCGAAAATTTGCGGTTGATTTATGTTCCGAAATATTCCGAGTGATAGCAGTGTTCAAGAAAATGGCGGTGGTTATTTTTTCCGAGTGACAGAGATGATCCATCGTGTGAGTGAGACAAAAAAGGCCCTTATAATTATATAACAGCGACATCTTTAGTTGAAACGACCGAATTAATGCTGATTATAATACTACTAATTTTAAAAGAGGTAACTTTCAACGTGATCTAAAATGTCTTGTGACATTTTCAATTTAATAGGATAATGTTCTCACCGAATTTGTTCTAAGATTGTACGGCCTGAAGATAACTATTTAATGGGCTGCTGTTTCAGTTGAGTTCGTGATAAAAAAAAACATGCCGGCCAGTTTTGCAATAACAGTGACATAAAATTATTTGTCTTTATAAATAACGTAAGCCGACTAACAGCTAGGATACCTTAGTGCATAGAAAAAAATACAAATCCAGGACAGCTTATACATTACTCTTACTGTCTTTGGGTGTGATTTAAATGGTTACAGTGAGGTGTAAATAAAAAAGGTAATCATACAATTTAACAATTATTATATTTATTTCAACAAAATGCTCTGCGTTTATTTTATGCATATAGATCTTTGTTTTGTAATCTCGATATTTTCCCCTTACTCGAGAAAAATTTAACAGGACGATTAAATAACCAAATATAATAAATATTTATAGACTATCAAGTTCCCCGCCGTGATGATTTCCTAGAGATTCGCTGCTCACTGTTGCGCAGATTGGCTTATTCTGAAACAGATGAAAGAATTATGTGATATAAAAGTTGCAGTTAAATTATAAAGATTGGGTGATTAAGTTGGCTATAAATCATGAGGCCAGTTTTGCATGAGTAACCTTTATTGAATGTGTGTCTTTATTTACGTTGGTAAGTCTAATGATATAAAGTTATCGGTACAATTCCTAATGTCGTGTTTAAGTGTTGCTGCTATTAATTTTTAAGTTAAATTAATACATCTTTTGGCGCGTTTGGAAAAAATAAACACAGACAGCCAAAGTGATATGATGAAGTTGATTGGAAGGCGGTCAACTTCAAGGCAATACCACGGCAACCAATAACAACTTTTTGACATTTAATTACAACTCCAAATTATTTAATTAAACCGTTATCAATTGCATTTAATCTTTTTTTCACAGAGTACTGGGGATAACATTCTCAGTTAATTTTCTTTTGTCACACTAAAGAAGTATAACTACTTTATTGTATAACTAAATTACGAGTTGTGGATTGATCGAGTAATCGAACGAACGAAGGAAGGAACGGAAGGGAGCGTTCTTGTTATTGGGCCGCGGCAAGTCGAGCGTTGGATCGAATGAATTAATAAATGAATGAATGAACGAACGGAAGAGCGTACTTGTTGCCTAGCACGGCGCGCACGGCGCTGGCCACGTCGCTGGGCCGCGGCAGCGCGAGCGAAGGATCGAATGAATGAATGAATGGAAGAGCGTACTTGTTGCCTAGCACGGCGCGCACGGCGCTGGCCACGTCGCTGGGCCGCGGCAGCGCGAGCGAAGGATCGAATGAATGAATGAATGAATGAATGGAAGAGCGTACTTGTTGCCTAGCACGGCGCGCACGGCGCTGGCCACGTCGCTGGGCCGCGGCAGCGCGAGCGAAGGATCGAATGAATGAATGAATGAATGAATGGAAGAGCGTACTTGTTGCCTAGCACGGCGCGCACGGCGCTGGCCACGTCGCTGGGCCGGGCCGCGGCAGCGCGAGCGAAGGAACGAATGAATGAATGAATGAATGAATGAACGGAAGAGCGTACTTGTTGCCTAGCACGCGGCGCGCACGGCGCTGGCCACGTCGCTGGGCCGCGGCAGCGCGAGCGAAGGATCGAATGAATGAATGAATGGAAGAGCGTACTTGTTGCCTAGCACGGCGCGCACGGCGCTGGCCACGTCGCTGGGCCGCGGCAGCGCGAGCGAAGGATCGAATGAATGAATGAATGAATGAATGAATGAACGGAAGAGCGTACTTGTTGCCTAGCACGGCGCGCACGGCGCTGGCCACGTCGCTGGGCCGCGGCAGCGCGAGCGAAGGATCGAATGAATGAATGAATGAACGGAAGAGCGTACTTGTTGCCTAGCACGGCGCGCACGGCGCTGGCCACGTCGCTGGGCCGCGGCAGCGCGAGCGAAGGATCGAATGAATGAATGAATGAATGAATGAATGGAAGAGCGTACTTGTTGCCTAGCACGGCGCGCACGGCGCTGGCCACGTCGCTGGGCCGCGGCAGCGCGAGCGAAGGATCGAATGAATGAATGAATGAATGAACGGAAGAGCGTACTTATTGCCTAGCACGGCGCGCACGGCGCTGGCCACGTCGCTGGGCCGCGGCAGCGCGAGCGAAGGATCGAATGAATGAATGAATGAATGAATGAATGAACGGAAGAGCGTACTTGTTGCCTAGCACGGCGCGCACGGCGCTGGCCACGTCGCTGGGCCGCGGCAGCGCGAGCGAAGGATCGAATGAATGAATGAATGAATGAACGGAAGAGCGTACTTGTTGCCTAGCACGGCGCGCACGGCGCTGGCCACGTCGCTGGGCCGCGGCAGCGCGAGCGAAGGATCGAATGAATGAATGAACGGAAGAGCGTACTTGTTGCCTAGCACGGCGCGCACGGCGCTGGCCACGTCGCTGGGCCGCGGCAGCGCGAGCGAAGGATCGAATGAATGAATGAATGAATGAATGAACGGAAGAGCGTACTTGTTGCCTAGCACGGCGCGCACGGCGCTGGCCACGTCGCTGGGCCGCGGCAGCGCGAGCGAAGGATCGAATGAATGAATGAATGAAATGAACGGAAGAGCGTACTTGTTGCCTAGCACGGCGCGCACGGCGCTGGCCACGTCGCTGGGCCGCGGCAGCGCGAGCGAAGGATCGAATGAATGAATGAATGAATGAACGGAAGAGCGTACTTGTTGCCTAGCACGGCGCGCACGGCGCTGGCCACGTCGCTGGGCCGCGGCAGCGCGAGCGCCTCGAGCCCCCTCGCGTAGGGCATCGGCACGTCGGCGCCCGTCACCCGCCACGCGGGCGCGTCCAGCTCGAAGAAGGCGGGCGACTCCATCACGCGCGCGCAGATCTCCGCGCCGATCCCTGCACGGGCGCAAGGTTTTTTTCACGTGAGAAGGTGGCGAACGAGAACTGCCGCTGTACGGTTGGAGATGCGTTGCCACCTTTTAACACAGCGGGTCCGGGTTAGTTCAGTCACCAGACGAAACGCGACGGAGTTTGTGGGACTCGCCCGGACGGACCAGACCATTCATGCAACAGCAAAGACTGCTCTGCGTCACAAAGACTTTCTCGGCTCGAAGATCGTTACATAGTATTTTTGTTTGCCACCTCTTAATAAATTGGGCCCCGCTTACCTTCACAGTTCCACTTCACGCCGATCTTTGAGGTCGTAGTATTTACCCGAACGGACCTGACCTTTGTGCAACTCATCTATTTAAGTTAGGACTATTCATTCATTCTGCAGCATTATTGTCCTTGTTTTTTATCGATCCGATGTTTACTGCTATAAGTTTCGGTAACATACAAATTTCAGGCACACAGGGACAGCCAGTATGAACCCAGTATGACCTAGTCGAAAGGAGGCATCATCGCTGCGCTGTAACGGTTCGAAAGATCTAGAAACTGTAACCCTGGACCGACCAGTGGAAGCTCTAAGTCCCTGCTGAGGGAACAAGCAAATGATGATGATTTAAGTTAGCACCATTTTGCAACAGAGAAGCTTGACTGTGAAAGTGAGATACTTTTCGTATTGCCCAAATCACTAGTGGGCCCACCTTCAGGAGGTTGAGGAGGGCCCTATGAATGGCAGTCATCTCATACCATTAAGTTCAATCACTTGCTTATTATAAAAAAGTGGTAACATACCGCTCTGCGGCCAACCCTGTTCGACAGTCACCAGATGGTGGGTTTTGGAGATGGAGCGCGCTATGCTCTCGAAGTCGAGCGGCCGGATCGAGCGGAGGTTCAACACTTCGCACTCAATGCCTGAAAAATTCAAATGCAATTGTTGTTTCATTTATTTCAAGCATTACACAAATTTACTTTATTACATTCTATTCACATCCCGGCCTCATTTGTAAACTGGTGATAGATTATGGTGTTCATATGTGCCTCAAACAAGACTTAATTGAACAGAAGTACTTCAAGATAGAGATGAAATTTGTATATGGACAAAAAAATTGATAAAGCCTAGACCAAACCATGGGGAAATTACTTTAATTAATAATATTCTACTGTGTATCTTCATTGAAATTTATTCCCAATTATTATGTTCTTTATCTGCTTCCAAATGTCAATGTCATGACTAATGACAGTTTAGCTACAGATATTGATGGAGCAATTAAACCTAAATTGGAATTGAAGTTACGGATAGACAAAAATTATTGTTCATATACATAACTGTTCCACGCTAAAATCGATTCGACGCTAAAACTACTAGATTACAGTGTGGGCCGATTTATTCAACAATATCAATGTTTCTCAAAGCTGGCGGTTCTGCCTAGGTTCTCAGGGGGCGATTTATTTAATTTTTATTTTTAATTTATTTTATTTATATATTTAATTAAATTTTTCCTAAAGAACACCGAAAAGGTTGAGAAGCACTCAACTAAATTATCAACTATGATGATAGAACTAAACTTTAAGTTTAAGAAGGTTTAACCTCTCACCTTCTCCCGCCAGCTGTGCAGCTGCTAGCAGTGCAGTGTCAGTGCCTTTTCCAGCGCACACCAAGGAAACATGCTTCCCTTCACGTTCCACCTTTGCCTTTCCTGTAGTAAGGACATTCAGGTCACTGTTTTATTTTATTTTTAGTTCACACAAAATCCACAGCTCTTTGTTACATTGTATGTATCATGTGATCCAGAATTAAAGCCGAAAAGCTTTTACATTATTTAAGTAAAATTTTATCTGACATGTTGATGATAAAGCAGTAGAGAGTAATTAAAAAACATACACTTTTTTTATATATCTAGTATAGAAAAATTTACTCATCAAACCTTGATTGCTAAATTTTAACTGTGGTAACACAGCTGCTTTAACAAAAGACCGGTGTGAAGTAGAAGTGTACTTTAGCAATGACGTGAATAATACTTTCGCGTTTAGTCTGGTGAGTGACTTAACCAGGGTCCACTTTTTAAATGTTGTTAACACCGACCTGTATCCTCAGGTATTGGAGATAATCATGTGGGTCGGTAATCACTCAAAATCAGGTAAACCACTTGTTCACACTTGACAATGTTTCACAAAAAAAAAATTTTGAACATCTATTTATAACTCACAAGACTGAGGTAACATGAAATAGTTTCCATTATTTGATGCTTTTGATTTTTGTCTTTTTCAAAATTTCTATGAAATATTGAATCTCTCTATAAAATATTTTGTGAAATGGTAGGTTTTATTTAATGAGATTGTTTCTCATCTAGATTTGCAATGTCACGTACCTATAGGGATAAGGAAATCCTTTGAGAGGGCCTCGTCCGACATGGGGAATGGGACACCATACAGAATCTCATCCTCTAGGAACACCACTGGATCCGGATCTCTGATTGCTGACTTTAGGAGGCCTGAAAAAGTACATATACAAAAGTGTTAAAACAATATTTGTAGCTCGTAATATAATACTATGTCAATGTATTGCTAAACTTTAAAGTAACATCTTAATTCATTCTATGTGAAATAAATCTTTCTTGATTTCGAATAAGACGCATTTAAATGATAACAAGCTGGAAATGAATTGATCGCTCCAAGCTCCTTCAAGTATAATATTTATACATATAATATCATATAAGTAACATATTATAATGTCAAAAAGTTTAAAGCAAATTTTAATCAAAAAATTTTTAAAGCAAAACGAAATTGTCCCACTGAGTTTCTTTCGCTGGTTCTTCTCAGGTCAATAGTTTTTTTTTTCGAACAAGTAGTCTATTGACAATCAACAAGTAAGTGTAATTCCAAATTTCTATATAGAATAAAGACATTTGAATGTGACTCCTAACGTCCTTTCCTACCTTTGGCATCTTCCGAGGAGTAGGGCATGAGGACCTTCAGGCCTGGGCAGTGGCTGTACCAGGCGCCGAAGCATTGTGAATGCTGTGCCGCCACTCCGGCCGCTGCTCCATTGGGGCCTCTGAACACGATCGACGATGGCAGAGCGCCCGCCGACATGTAGAATGTCTTGGCCGCTGAGTTTACCACCTGTAAACAACACACTACGAGTTCAAAATGGATTTAATTTTATAGAGACAGGACAATAAAAGGGTACACTTGATTGTTACAGTTGCTCATGGTCATCTGGTATACCAAAACTGGAGTTGAACTTCTATACCTCATTTGCTGGATTAAATGCAACTACTTTTATTTTACAGCAGATTGGCAGTACGGCAAGGCCATCGTAATTTCTCGACATTTCTATTTTGCTATATCAGAAGCTGTTTTTGGGGCTAGGTTACCACATTCAATTAAAAATACTCTGATATTAACCATACATACATAACACATATAGAGACATGGGCCTAACTAGAAAATATAAAAGAATCACTATTTGCAATTTTAAGGATTAATTCTTTTGTCTAAATAATGTACCTTATAAGATCAACTAGTTGTCCATTTATCTGTCTTTTCCCATATTTATAATATTAAGCATATATATCTTCAGTGGTGTATAGAAAGTAATTGCAAGCATTGCAGTGAATGAAAAAATGTCTAACATGTGTTATCCAAACTTACATGGTATGTAATACTTACTTGATCAATACCTTGCATCGAGAAGTTGAAAGTCATGAACTCGCATATTGGCTTCAAACCAGCAAACGCTGCTCCAACGGCAATACCAGCGAAACCGGCTTCTGTGATGGGGGTATCGATGACTCGTTTATCTCCATACTTCTTCCACAGGCCCCTATAGCAATTGCATCATAATCAGAATACCAATATAGTTTTTTTTGACAGGACATTTTTGAATATTTGTTGATTAATGGGTAAAATTTTTACCAACTTCATAAATGATTCTATTGCAGATAAGAAACAAAAAATATTGCGGCATGAATATTTGGAAAGTGCAAATAGAACCTATTTTCTGCATCAAGTTTTCTTTTAAATGAATTGGTGTTATTGAAGTAATACAATATTAAGTCATGGACATAATTTCCTTTTCATATTGCACTGATATTTTGTTTGCAAAGAGTTTTTTATCATGAGATAACAGATTTGTTAAGATAGAATTTTATAAAGTGAATGTGATTTGATAAATTATCTTGCATTGAAAAGATTTTATTTTCTTACTCAAACCATTGATATTTAAATAATATTATGATCAAAATTTATAAAATACATTGTAAATTGTATAAAATATATTTTATCACAAGCTCACTATTTGTGATAAAATATGTAGTTTTTGGACTTTTAATTCTTTAAAATAAATTGGTAATTCATTACTCAAGGGACTCTACATCGTAAGCTAAGTGCTTTCACATTGAATATAACTTTACTATTCACAATTATCTCATTACCTTATTAAAAGTGTATTAAGAATAAACATTGACAGTTATGCAATGATCACACAGATAAGCATTAGTTTGAAGAGGGTGGTGAAATGTCATGGACACCACATTATAAGTTATGTATTTAACTATTCAAAATCATCTTTTTAATGTTCAATATTTTTACTTATGTACTATTTCGATTATCCACTCATTCACATTGTAACATACATTTTTCCTTCTATACATGATAAATAAAAAAGTAATAAAAAATAGTGAAAGTAATGAAAAAATAAAGTAATAAAAACTGGCTCCAAATCTAGATGAAACAACATGGAAAGGGTTAGGACTGACTGTATGGCCACCATAGGCATGTATCCATATATATTAATAGATTTAGTTTGTGTGGTGGTAGGTATTGACATGTGTGGGTTAGTGAAACTTTGGGCTAATATTCCGAATAGTATGTCTCGTTTTTCAAGTTAGAAAAAAATTTTAATTGATAGAGAAATGTTAATAATTAATTATTATATAAGTTATAATCAATGAAAATCACTAGATTATGAGGAAAAAATTAACAAAGTTTTTAAATTTCATACAACTGAAATCCGTCATTACTGTGCGTCCATTATTCATTATAGACTATTATTTTAAGTTAAACACTTACGTTTTCACTTTTTACGTTGTAAGAAGTCACAAATACACAGATATATCACAAAAACACAAGTTTCTACTTCATGAACATGTATTATTAACAATTAAAAATTTGTGACTTAGGGTACACTTAATGTCTCAAATATTAGGTTCAAAATGAGTCACAGATCCGACACAGAGCGATCCGACTCGGATAGGTTAGGTTAGAAGCCTTCAATGTTAGGTTTTTTTTTTATGACCACCCAGAAAACTTTAGTGTAACATTTTTAGTATATTTAAAGACTCTTTTTTAATAATGCGAAGGTTATAATTTGGTAAAGTGTGTGAATTCTTAAATTTATACATGTTGTCAAACACAAAATGGCGGATTTATTTAGTGAAAATAACAAGTTTTAAATATTTTTTTTTATTAAAAGTAAGTGTTTGCCTTGGTTTTCACATATGTAATATTTAATTATTAACATTTCTCTATCGATTAAAATTTTTTTCTAGCTTGAAAAACGAGATGTACTGTTCGGAATTTTTACCAAACTTTGTTTGTTTTTTCCTTATGTAATTTTTAGATATATAACTAACTTGCTGATTCTAAGCAAAATATTCAATTATCCTAATGTAAACATTTTGACAGCTGACTCCTGTCAATAAGTTTAAATACTTTCTTATTAATATAAATATTTTCTCTTAATAAACAGTTAAATTAATAAATCTTTACTGCTTTTCACTGAAATAAGAAAATATATTTCAAGTGTCCTTAGAAATATATGGATTGGAGAACTGTCAATAAATTTTTGGTTACGTAACAAACGTCGAAAGAAAAAGCATAGATTTAGTCTTATAATTTAACCTCTATAGTTTAACCTTTTCATTCAAACTAATTCAAGGTTAATGTTAAATAACATGTAAGGATTACCTGCTGACTTTATAGGCACCGTCATATTGAGCAACTTCTTCGCCTAGTAGGAAAACAGTTTCATCACGAGCCATTTCCTCATCTATTGCTTGATTTAAGGCATCACGAACAGTCATTTGAGTTGCAGCCAAGGATTTAGAAGTAGAAAAAGAACGACGAGTCAAGCGGGTTATTAGTCTGAAGAGGACCGGTGTTGATTTTAACGCCATTTTCACGTTTATTTATCTTTTAGGTAAATAATAATGAATCGTAAATATTTTCAAGCTCTATAAAGAGCGTTTTAAAATATTTTCGTTGGAAATTTGTTCGAAAATAAAAGGTCAATGCTACTGGTATTTATGCAAAGGTTAGAACTTGAGCTTGAGATAGACAGTGCTCAGTGCTGTCATATATAAAAATGTTGTAAAATATACTATGTTCTATGTTGCCATAGTAGTTAATACCTACGCTTTTGCAAAATTGCGTTGATATATAGACTTTATAATAATTGTTTGGTTCATTATAATTTATTTATTTTTGAGCTATTATATTGTTCTGAAACAGCATGGAATAGATACATACATATTAGTAAAAATTCATTGTATCGCCTACTATCTTCAACATGGGCGAGCGTAATGATAATGACAGTTTTGACCTCTAATTCAGCTTAGCGATTTTGGAGGTCGGAAGAGAATACCGTAAAAGTAAATTAAATTGCGAAATGGACAATATCATACACATTTAAAACATCTTGTTAGAAAATCATGAAGGTTACTTGAAGATAAGTTTGTAGTAAATTCTGGAAGCGAAAGTTGTAAATGGATGGCGAAGCTATAGGAAGAGGATGTTACGTTAAATCAGTTTGAAAGAGTACTTGCTCAGTTTACTACATTTTGTGTTCCATTATAATTTCCTTAAATAAAATAAAATTCATAAAAAATAATTAAGGCGAAGGATATTTTATAAAATCAAAATCAAAATCAAAAATATATCGCTCTCCCCACCGAATAATATCGTTATCGATACATTAAAATTTTACAGGAAAAATAAAAGAGTTGTAACGCGCCCTTTTCAAAAGTCGCTCGGGCTTAATAGTACTCGCGGATTGGACGAATCCCGGGCGGCAACGCAAGAGCCAATCGCGGCTCAAAGTCATGACGCGCCACGCGGGAGCGACCGATTGAAAATACGTTCCCGCCGCTCCCGCGCAGTTCGACAACCGACGCGATATAGTTAGTATGCTAATAGACTGTAATTGTATACCTAACATAGAACTAGTTTATATTCTTATAAGTATCTCAAGTGAACTCTAATTGTGCAACTACTTACGAGAATAAACTATTATTACTATAACCAGTGGTATTTCACTTCACATAGCCTAGTGCAGATAGAACCCAATAGAGTTAGCCGTCGCTACAAAATGGCTGCCCACGCGTGAGGCTATAGTGAAAAAGTGAACTTTTGTGTCGAGAGTCGCTGCGGTTATATAAAATGCCGCCAAAAAGGAATCGTCGTGTGTCGTCGCCGTCGCGAGAAGAGTTCGCGTCGGCCAGAGAAGGCTCCTTCTCCAGGGACGACATTGCGTCATTAGTGGAGTCACTCCAACGATCGCAGACCAACGCCTTCAAGGAGCTGCTGGAAAGCGTCATCACTACCACCAGGCACGCGTCGTCTACTTCGACACCGATACCATTAGAAGGAGGAAACTTTTCCCGCTGCAAAGCTCGATTCGCTGGAAATACGGACGAGTCCATTGAAGGATTTATTGACGCTATCGAAGCATACAAAGACTGTGCAAACATCTCAGACGAAAACGCCATTCGTGGGTTATCAATGTTACTAACACATTCAGCTGCAGATTGGTGGCAAGGAATTAAACCTGAAATTACTTCATGGGCCGAAGTTATAGACAGCCTACGTCATACCTACGGCGATAGTCGAGCTCCGTCGCGTATTTACCGCGACTTATTTTCTGAACCACAAGGCGAAGAAAACACCCATATTTACGTTGCGAAGTGTAGAGCGCTTTTAGCAAAATTGCCGCGGAACGAGATTTCTGAAAAGATCCAACTTGATATGGTGTATGGGCTCCTACACAAAAGAATTAGAAAACGTGTCAAGAGAGAAGACTGCGCATCATTTAAAATACTATTACAAAAGACGCGCGCCGTGGAAGAGTCACTAAGTGAAGTGTGCGTGAATAACGCCTCGTCGAGTCGTCCCGCCGCCGTGTTGAAGACGCTGCGCGCCGGCGCCACAATGGGGGCGCCCGCGCCGCCGCCTCGCGTGCACCGCGCGCCACCGCCGCCTCGAGTCGATGATCACTACACCGCGACTGCGTCCGTCTCCGCCTCCACTGCGAAAACTAAATCGTATAGTAAGAAGTGCGGTTATTGTAAACGTTTCGGCCACATGATAGAAGAATGTCGTAAATTACCTAAAGACTCTAGGTGTAAGTCTAATGATAATAGTAATAACGCAACAGATGTAAAGGTTGTGCATTGTTATGGATGTGGGCAGAAAGGTGTTTTACGCGCAAATTGCGATAAGTGTAATGCTACATTCTGTTCTATCAATTGCAGCATAGATTCGTCCGCCCAAGGGTCAAAGGACGCGGGTAAGCAGTTTTCCCCGGTGAGCTCTAATGCCTATAAATGTAAAAGTCAAAATTCTTTAACTGATAAGAGTGTTAATGATAATAAATTTCAAGAAATTCATCCCTATAATAAAAAATGTCATGCTGTACCAGGTCAAATTATACATTAATTGCAAATTCTTTAATTGATAAAAGTGTTAATGATAATAAATTTCAAGTAATTGATCCCTATAATAAGAAAATGTCATGTTGTACCATGTCAAATTATACATTAATTGCAAATTCTTTAACTGATAAGAGTGTTAATAATAATCAATTTCAAGTAATTGATCCCTATAATAAGAAAATGTCATGTTGTACCATGTCAAATTATACATTAATTCCAAATTTTTTAACTGATAAGAGTGTTAAGGTTAATCAAGTTCATGTAATTGATCCCTATAGTAAAGAAATGGCATGTTGTACTATGTCAGAATGTAATAGTAACACATTCTTGTTGCCAGAACTAGTCATGGACACTAAACCTAGGTTGACATCAGCTGTTGATAACAGTGATAACAAAGGCCACAGTATATCTAATAACAGTATATTGACTAAGTGTCATAGTATAGGTATACCCAGTAGTGTAATCATGCCTTGTGAGGATATTATATTTTCATCTTTGGATTTATTAGGAACCAGCCAAGAGGTTGAGGATCTCCAGAAGCCTGCGCATGGAGCCCTGAACAATAGTAATTCAGCAAATAACTCTGAGTATGCTGCATTGGAATTATTTGATTCTTTTGAAAATTATATGAACAGACATCAGCGGCCAATCATAGGAATTGAAATTCTCAACGTAAGAGGAAGAGCACTACTTGATACAGCTGCCAAGAGAAGCCTTGCAAGTCAGAAACTTTACTCACTCTTACTGGAGAACAATCAACAGTTCTGCGAGAGACAAGTGAGAGTAAAATTAGCTGACGGTTTATCTCAAATTAAAAAGGTACTCACAATCTCCTTAGATGTCAAAGTAAAGAATAGAGTAATACCTCAGGAGTTTATGATCTTACCGGATGCTGAAGAAAATGATTCTTTATTGGGAATAGATTTTATGAAAGCATCTCGACTTGACCTGGACTTCTATCACTTGACTTGGTGCTTTCCTGGAGGTGAAAAATACCCTATGCAATTTGAATCTAATGTGCCATCCCAAATATCAATTGCTGCAAGCAACATACTTTAATGCAGAGGAAGGATATATGTTGAATGTAAATGAAAAGATGAGATTAGCCGAAGTATTAGAGAGGAATAGTGCAGTTTTCAGTCTAGGGGGAGCGCCCACTCCAATTGTTGAACACCATATAGACACAGGAGAACACGCACCTATATCTGTACCTCCTTACCGACTCACACCTGCAAAGAAAGAAATCATGAAGGCAGAAATTGACAAGATGCTCCGGGATGGAATAATAGAGGAATGTGAATCTGCTTGGACGTCTCCAGCGGTTCTAGTACCAAAGAAAAATAATACTGTCAGATTTTGTGTAGATTATAGAAAGCTGAACAGCATCACAAAGACAGATAATTATCCCTTACCTCTAATTGATGAGCTGCTACAGTCAACCGGAAAGCACTGCTACATAAGTACTATTGATTTAAGATCTGGATACTGGCAAGTTGGTGTTAATGCAGCTGACCGGGATAAAACTGCTGTAATCACTCCTTTTGCTACGTATCGATTTGTAAGAATGCCATTTGGCTTAAAGAATGCCCCGGCCACCTTCCAGCGGTTGATGGATAAGTTTAAATCTGGTTCCAGCCTGCAGAATACTACTGTCCTGGCATACCTGGATGATATATTGGTCATATCCGACAATTTCGAGAAACACCTGGAAGACCTGCAACTGGTATTTGACCGTCTTCTAAAGTTTGGATTGAGAGCCAACCGAGACAAATGTGTTTTTGCATGTAAAGAGGTCAAATATCTCGGTCACCTCATCACACCTGAAGGTATCAAGCCGGATAACGGGAAGGTTGAAGCCATCATAGCCATGAAAGAGCCAACTAACCTCAAGCATCTCAGAACATTTCTACAAACCTGCGCTTGGTTTAGAAAATTTGTTCCAAATTTCTCAGCGATAGCTCAACCGCTTACCAAGCTAACTAAGAAAAATGAACCATGGAAATGGCAAGAGGAACAACAAGAGGCTTTTAAGGAACTTAAAGCCAGGTTAGCTTCTGCTCCGATTCTGGTGCAAGTTGACTACAGCAAGGAATTTATTCTGCGGACCGATGCGAGCAACTATGCTCTTGGAGCAACCCTTATGCAGTGCAAAGGACAAGACGAGCATCCCATTGAGTATGCCAGCCGGCTGCTCACACCAGCAGAACGCCGTTACAGTACGACTGAACGTGAAGCCTTGGCTGTGGTTTGGGCAGTTGAGAAGTATCGACCCTATATTGATGGTCATACAGTGATTGTAAAGAGTGACCATCAGCCGTTGAAGTGGCTTTTGACTCACAAGTCACCAAACGGTCGCCTTATTAGGTGGGCATTAA